ATACAAATAGCAACAACAGCACGATAAGCACAACAGCAACAGCAACATCAGCAACACACAACAGCAACATCAACATCAACATACAGCAGCAATCATTGCAGGCAGTAGTAGTCCTAAACTAAGCTCAATGTCTCCAGTAATCCATGTGCTATGGTATTCGTGTGCTGATTGATTTGAATTGAATAATTGCAATTGTGCGGCTGGCATATTCGTATTCGTATTTGTATTTGCATTATTATTATTATTATTATCCCGTATAGCCGTATGGCTTTTTATTCGTTTTTTTGTGTTCGAATTGAGACTAATGACATGTGGAAAGACCATTTCAATAACTAAACCACTAGCTAATCCAATACGCAATTCAAACATATTATATATCTGTTTACCCTCACCCGTTTCATATTTGATTTCTTCTCAAGGAGAGCACTTCACGGAATAATTTACTTTTTTTGTAGACAAACTTTTGCTTCCATTGGCATAATAACTCATACTAAATTCGAATAATCGCCAATAATATTTTGATCGCTTCGTTTTTTGGGACATTTGTCAAAAGTGCAAAAAGCAACAAATAAACTTGATGAGAATCAAATTAATAAAAAATCTAAAATAATTGAGCTCTTGCCTTGGAATCAAAGATTACGGATTATTTGATTAGAAAAAGAGAGAAAGAGGGAGAGGGCTAGAGGGAAAGAGAGAGCGAGTGAAATGGATGAGAGTTTGACAACAAATTTCTCAGGCGGATCGATGAGTTGTTTAAACAGTTGATCTGGTTTTCTGGCCGCCTTGCCGGCTGGGTTTAATTTTAGACCATTTGCGTTAGACATTTGATGGATTTTCCGCTCGATTTGCATTTAAAAATAACACATACTCGCATTGTCTTTCGCCTGGAGCGTGTACCCAAATATTTGGCTCTGTTAGCCAAATTGTGGCAAATAATCTAGTATAACCCTATAGGGGTTTTGCCTATGACGTCAACACATCACCCGTGTATGGAAAACATATACTCCAAATTCCAATTAGCCGTGAAAGCCCATCCGTCAATGCGTGAATTAGAATTAGAATTATATTTTTGGGATCGAATTAAATGGGCAATCGGCAGCAGCAGTCACGCGATGATAAGCACAAATCGAATTTTGTGCATGAAAAATTATGATTATTTCTATTATTTCTAAACCGATTATCTATCACGCCCGAACTGTCGGTTTATGCTGGTCAATGGATGATTGGATGGTTGGTGTCGACGAGATGCGGGACCCAAAAACCCAGTGCTCAATAATCGGTTCCCTTATCAGTCCAAGTATTTTGCTAAATGTTCTAAAAATACTTAATATTTTCTGTTTTAAAGCACTCTGTTCACTTGTAGTTTTAACTCTTTAGATAAACCGTATAATATTTATATAATAAAACCTCAGACTTATCAATGACTTCCCATTCATGGGGGACTCCATAAATGTTTGTGGTTTTCTCTACTGCTTATCAGATATATATTTTAATTTCATATTATTTTTTACCAGCGCCCTAGTGTTATGATAAACAACTAAAACTAGCCGCAAAGCAAAGTTCATGAAAAAAAAATTGATTTCGTTTTGGGGTTTGGCCTTTTTAGCCCTCGTTGTTTTTTTGTTGTTGTGCATAAAATAAATATGTGGAAATATGTCGATAAAGAAATTCTATAAATAAGTACACATTTTTGTAGGGGCAGATAAAAAAAAAATTTAAAACGAAATCGAGAATGTTATTTAATAAATACATTTCTTGTATTCCGCTGGTTTTTTCCGCATATGCTATTTGTTTTTGTTTGCCCGCAAGTGATAAAAAAAATGAGAGAAATATAACAAAGTGCCACCGAACGTGTCGTTTTTGTTTGAAAATAATGTGTGTTTAGTATTAGTAACAAAAAAAAAAATGAAAAAAAAACAAAATCGAAGCGGAAGCTGTGCTGGCTGCTAATTTGTTGTTCATTTGTTTGCGCTGTCAAGAAGCGTTTAATTTTTCTGCTCTTTATTTTTTGATTATTTTTTTTATGCCTTTTTTTTGGATGCGTTTTATTTTTGGAAGCGAGACGCGGCCCAAAGCACTTTGTCTATAAAAATGCACTTCTGCGAAAAAATAAACACATGCCTCATAGCCAAAACAAACGCACTGCGAGTGAGGAATGAGGAGTGGAGCTGCTGCACTTCGACTCTAACAACAAACAACTGTTGCAATTCCATTTAACATGATTTCTGGGCAAAAATTTCAGCCCCCATACAGCTGGATTGAAAATACTAGCAGTGGAAAATCACAAATCACATAAAATATACTTATATACCTAATGATTTGCAAGTTCTATTGAATTTAGGGTTTCAAAATTAATTTTTGGTGATCAAATAATTTATTTCATAATTTTTATATAGCTTGGTATAATTTTATAAAAATATTTCCCATGAATCTTGTGATTTTTAATATCTTTCTATAATAATATAATATGAAATACAAAAGTCTTTATAAAAATATTTTCCATTTATGGAAGATTTTTTTGTATTCCCCAAAGCACCTATTACTTTTCCTACAACTGTTAGTGATCAAATAAGTTTCTTAATTTTTTAAATATCTTGCAATAACAGTAATGATTTTAAAAATATTTTCCATTTATTTTCAGATTTTTGTATACCTTCCCAAAACCCCTATTATTTTGCCCTCGACTGTAGGATATATCCCAGGGCCTCTCCGTTCATATTCCTGTCGATCATCTTTGGCTGCCGCTTCGAGGACAAAAAAATATTGTCGCATATTTATGAACATGTGTAACAGATAAATCTGAATCTACGCACACAGCAGCGCTCATAAGTGATTTAGTTGTCAGTCGAGTGCATTTATCACAGCTGTGCATGGACGCTGGTTAAGGGGGGGTTGTTTCCATTTTTCAGGCTGGTGAGGGGGTGCAAGAGGTGTCGCCCGGGCGCCAGTAATCAAACTAATGAGCTTGGGCCCACCAGCAGGCGGCAAAAATAGCTTTTAATGGATTTCAAATAAGAAAACGCGCACAAAACGCCAGCAAAACGCGGGCTAAAAGCCAAAGTCGCGCGGTAGGTCAGGGGTGCACAGCAAGGGGGTTTTTAACACCTGCTCACTATAATTTTTTTTATACATTTTAGGAATATATATTCTTGCTTCCCAGGTCAATATATTTTCTAATACCAAAAAGCGTGCTTAAAAATCACTTAGAGCTCTGAAAACCCCCTTGCCAGAAGCCCGTCTAAGCCACTGGTTGGGTGGTAGGGTGTCTGGCCAAGTGAAGTGATAAAACATTAAAGAAATGCGCTTCTTCTACTTTTTTCTTCCTTTTTTTTAAGCAACACCTAGGGGTTGCTAATGGAAAAGAAGCTGCTGCTGCTGCTGCTGCTGTTGCACTTAATGGCAAATGATAATGATTGATGCTAAAATGCAATGCACCACTCCCGTGTGCACATCTTCAAATCAGCACAAAAAGCCACACGAAGCACTTCAAGTCGAAGCTTTTCACGGGTGGTTTTTCTGGATAAGCAATCATTCAATGCGGTGTGCATTGTTACAAAAGGAGGAAAAATAACGAAAAGAGGGGAAAATTTGTACTTATTTTTACATTAGGGAAATTGGTAGGTTGTCTATAGACCCTCCTTTATAAGGGGTATGGGTTCTATAAAAATATGTTTTCTTTAAGTATATTTAACATCTCAAATAATTCCTAAACTTAAGTACCCCTACTTATAAAGTCTTTATTCCATCTCATCTCTTTGCTCTATTGTATCCCTTTTCCCCTTCTCATCTGGTACTGTGTAAACAAAGGCATTCAACAAATTTGTAGGCGTAAAAATTGTCTTGTCAATATTTTAATGATATCACTTTACACCCCCGTGTTTTTAGTCCTTGTCCTTGGGCACCCCGTCCTTATTTGCCTGCCGCAAAAGTTTCCTTCTAACTTTCTCCCTTGGCCTGATGTTGGGTTGATTTTTACAGTCCCAGGGAAAAAGGCTCAAATCCCTGGCTGTATGTTTTTTTGGGTTTTTTTTCTTTTTTATATAATGCCTGTTTGTCCCTTTTTGCTGCTTCTTCTTGTTCTTGGGCGTGTAAAGAAGAAGTCAAAAGTCCCGCCGCTCATTTGTTTGCCTTGTACAATTTTTTTTTTGTTTTCTATTTTTTTTCCGGCTTTGGTTTCGTCGTACTCGGGCAACATTTTTTCTGTTTGGCTAGAAAATTACAAGAAAAGTGGCCGAGTGGGTGGAAAAGTGAGGGGGGGTTTTGTTTATTTGTGCAAGTGTTTTCTCAATTGTGCGTACTGGTTTGAGGGGACGGCGGTCGGTCAGTCGTGCGTCGTCGTCTGCGGTTGAAATTCCTCTCCTTGGTTTCCGTATTTTTTTTTTTATTTTAACGCTTCTTTCACTCCTTTTGGCAGCCCATGGCATCCTTTTTGCCCCCCGAAGCACACACACACACACTAGCACATTCCAAATTCCGGTGTGGGCGGCGACGTTTGTCTAATCTTAACGGTTTTACATTTCATTGCGCTGGGTAATTGTCTGTCGGTGGTTGGGGGGGGGGGGGGGTTTGGGTTTTTAAGGATATTCGACCTTAGTCCGCTACAGTTTATTAAATTAAAAAGTCACTTAAAGTTGCCTCTTTTCGATGGGCAGACTTCAGTGGTTTGATGTCTATGGTTTGGTGTTTAATCCTCAGCACTTTGGCTAACAAGGGGTTAACTTCCGGTTAGAACTTGTTGGATAAGATGTGACTTTTTACTTTAAGGTTTACATGTTGTCAAACTACTTTAACAATTTCATTTAACTAAATACTCATGTTTAACTCCAAAGCTAACCTGTAGTTAAGTTTATATGCAGCTGGTTAACCTCGTGTCAACACTTTCTTACATTTCTAACAGATATTAAGCCAGAAATATATTTTTTTCTAACTTCCTGTCAACTTTCCTTAGGTAAAATTAAACTTATTTTTTCCTACTTAACCTCCAGTTAACTTAAACTTACCTCTTTATCTTTGGCAGCTAATAGAACAGCAGGCTGGCCATTGTTGTTGTTATTGTTCTTCTTCTTGCGCTTCTCGCTGTTGCCGCTGCTGCTGTTGTTGTTGTTGGTGTTGCTGGTGGCGGTGCTCCTGGTGTTGTTGTTATTGCTGGTGTTCGTATTGTTGTTGGCGCAATCATCGTCCTCCGCGGAATTGGCAACATGTTGCTCACTCTCATTGCCACCATTGTTGTTCTTTCGACTACAACTATTATTGCTATCGGTTGTGTGATTATTGCTAACATTTAAAGCCTCCCCCGCATCCTTGTTCTCCTCAAGATCTGCTTCCTGCTGCTGCTGCTGCTGTTGTGTGGTTGCACTTGGCTCAGTTCTGGTTTCTTGCTGTGCATCCAGCTCCATATCATCAGCATTCGATAGCATCGAGGCATTCTCCTCCTCATCGTCCTCGTCCTCATCCTCCTCCTCCTCCTCCTCATCCAGCTCCTCATCGTCCTGGTGACTGTTGTTGCTGGTGTGATTGATGTTGCTGCTGCTGCTGCTGCTGCCGCTCTTGATGTTGCCAGTTGCAATCGGTGTTGCTGCCGCCGCCGCTGCTGCTGCTGCTGCTGCTCCTGTTGCCGTTACTGCTGGCTGTTCTGTGGGGATTGCAACTTCGTTCGCCGGCGAATGCATTGGCGATTGCTGTTGCTGCTGCTGTTGCAATGCCGCCGCCGCTGCCGCAGCTGCCGCCTCCATCATCATCATCTGCTGGGCGTGATTGAAGAAGAGCTTCGGATTGAGGCAGGCGCCGCCGACACCACCGACACCGCCGCTCTGTTGCAAACTGCTCTGCAACTGCTGCTGCTGCTCGGCGCTGAGCAACGGCGGCGAGGGCGACGGCGTGTTTGTGTTTGCCAGCAGATTGCTGCCGTTCTGCTGCTGCAGCGTTATGGCCGCTGCAACAATGGAGCTGTTCAGCAGCTTGTCGTTGTCGCTTTCCAAATGTAACTGGTGCTGCTGCTGCTGCTGCTGCTGATCCTCCTCACTGTCGTTGGTTGCTGCTGCAATTGCTGTTGCTGCTGCAGCTGCTGTGTCGCTGTTGTCGCTGTTGAGGTTGCTGTCGGGATTGCCGGTGGATAGCTGCTCTTTGAGTGTGTTCACTTCCTTCTCGGCCAGGGTAGCGCGCTGGAAAATATCAATTAAACAAGTCAAATTAGTGATTGGATTTTAATTTGACAAAAGGCATTAGTGCAATAACGCCCAAGTGACATAACAGTCAGTGAAATAACGCCAGTTAAAAAAAACCCAGTGACATACACCCCATGGGAGTAAAAAAAAGGAAACTATAACCAAAAAAAGTAATTTCACCAAACATGGGCGTTATTTCACTGAGCGTTAATTCACTCTTAATATTGAGAGATTTAATTTGAATTATATAGATATTGGCCATATAGGTACACTTGTAGTGCCTTCAAATTAATACATCTTCCTTAATTATATAAAAATAAGGATGACATTTTCCATTGGTCTTCAAAGAACCATCAACACCCCGTTCTCAAAAGCTAGGCAATGTCAGGCACATATGTTGCTTTTGGCACGAACAAAAAGCAAAAAGTTTCCAGACCCCCAACCACCGTTTCGGCCTTAGCCAACTATCGACCCTCATTAATTTTACTTTTAAAGTCATTACGGGTTAAATTTAGCCAAATTAATACGTTGCAAAAACTTTTGTCGGGCCCCCACCCCCCCACAGAAAATGCCAGGACCAAAACTCCCAAGCCCAAGCCCAAACCAAAACACAAACTAAATACCAAATACCAAATAGGCCAAAAGGAGTCAGACGGAAGGCTTAAAAAACATTCCGGGGTATTTCCGTCTGCATTAGCAACCAAAACAACAAGGATCTAGAGCCAGGACCAGCAAATTTATAGTTTATCGTCGGTATCGATAAGCTCAACTTGAAAATTTTCCCTGCTATTAGTGACCTGACCTTCGATGGTTCCTGCTTTCTCTGGATTCCAAAATGCCAAATGAGAAATTAAAACAACAAAACAGAAACCAAAATAAAAAAAACAAGAGAGGAGAACTCCCAAAGAAGGTTACAAAAATATGCGGTGCAAACTTTTTTGGCAAATTAGTCTGGGACCCAGACCAGAATCACAATCTCCCCCAAGTTTTAAGGCTTCCAATCCATTACAATCCCCACATTTCCCTAAGCTCAAGCAAATGGCAATGACTTTTGCTTCGATTTTCCGTTGATTTGTTCGGTTTTTCTTCTCCTTTTTTTTTTTGTTTTTGGGTTTTTGTGCAATTTTATTTGTTTAAATACCGGAAGCTAGCAAAAAACCCAGGACTTCAGTGGGCGTTGCAGGCAATAAAGAACTTTGGAAATTAGTCGATGGGCTAGTGCTGTTAGCAAAAACTATTTGGTGTGAGTTTTAAGCCTTTTGCCATTCGGTTCTTGGCCAAGAGTTCTACTTCATATCGATGAAGGTCCTTCGTTCGGTACTGCCTACGATTTAAGGAATAAACTTAAGCAGGAAGTCGTTACACAGAGTGTAGAAATGGGCAAAGGGTTTTGTGGAGGTTGGGGATTTGAAGTTAGAGGAATTTAGGTATTTTATCTTAACTTCAGATAAATACTGAAAATACTAAAAATGATATATTTTTTAATACCAACTTGAATACATTTTTTCTTTCAGAACTCCCCCTAATGGCTTCGACATTCGATGATTTCGAGTACGCTTAATGACAATATCCCTGGGAAAACCGAATGGCAAAAAGCAAATCATTTTTCTTGCCCTGCCAGGCATATTTGTCAACATCATCATCCTCATTACGAAGGAATCGAGGGGAATGTAGGATGGTGGATGGGGTTCGGGAGTTGGAGTTGGAATCGCATAGATATATATTTATGATATTTAAAAGCTCTTAAGTACAAACAACAGACAAGTGGTTGGGTGCAGTTTCGTTGTCCTTCGGCCGACGTCCTTTCGAATGCCAGACACACAGGCAGACAGCTGGAAAGTGGGTGGTTTGGGTGTTTTGGGTGTTTTGGCTACCGATGGGTGGATTTTGGGTGGTGCTGGGTGGCTCTCTTGGTGGTTCAGTGGTTGCTCTGTTTTAAGACCTCGGTTGGCGGCCACTGTCTTGTTGTTGCCATTTTCCCGTGAGCTGCTTAAGCTTGAAAATTGTTTTCATAATGGAGAGAAAGAGAAAAGGATACTTTTCCGTTTTCATTTTCATTTTGATTCCCGGTTTCCATTTCTTTTGCTGACTTTTTGCTGGACCAAAAGGACCACCAAAATCGATCACTGAAACGAAATCCCCGTGGGAAAGGCGGCACTTGTTGGTGTCCGGTTTTTCCACCTCGGAAAATAGTTTTCTTGCCCAGTCTGGGCAAATCAATTAATGCCAGCCAGTCTAACGATTTCTGGCCCACTTTGAGTTCGGCCTGGCAGCAGTTGCCAACCAAATGAGTTAATTAACTAAAATGCGGGTGGCTTTGCTGGGCATTTTTTTGGTTTTTTTGCAAATTGGAGAGGGGTCTTTTGGTTTTTTTTCTTTTTTTTTTGGGGGGCTCTGCCCACTTCAATGGCCCTCGTCCTTTTTGGCCCCGTGTGTGTGGTCAGCTTATGGCAAGGCAAGGCTTTTCGTATTTTCGTATTGAGCACCCTTTTAGCGTGCCCCGGCTCCCCTTTTTATTTTGGGTTTCATTTAATATTTTGCCGGTTGCCACTTCAAAGGAGCTTTTCCAAAAAAAAAAATATATATATATATATATATATCTACTGGGTAATGGGTAAAAAACTCTCGCGCGCGAACCAAAAATGTTAAGTGAAATGTTAGTCCCTTGTCTAAGGATCTGTTAAAATTCCAGTCATACTAAAATTGAATTCAAAACAAGGGAATGGGTTTGATGAAATGTATCATTAAAGCTATGGGAACATAACTATACATATATTTAATACTTAAAAATGTAGTATTTCTTCAATCTTTTATAAAACTCCAGCTATTAATTAATAATTTAATATTTCTTTCCCTCTTTTCAATTGCAATTTCTATGGATCTTCAGGCTGCAATTGTATCAACTATTGGCAAGACGAACTCGAAAGTCCTTATAGCATTTTGAGCGCCTGTTTCTGATTCTGATTCTGTATTTTATTTTTATTTTATATTATTTTTTTCTGCTCTCCATAGCGCCGTGTGTGTGTGTTTGAGTTGTTTGCTCGCAATTGTCGTGTGCTTGGCACATGTCAACTCATTCGCCAAAAAGCCCCTGCCACCCCGTTTTTGCCACACCCTCCGAAGTTGCAGCATGCGGCATTGTCTCAAGCTGTTTGTCTGAAGTGAGTTTGCCTCAAGACCCGCGAGCGGGGAATTCTTCTCGCTCTTTGGGCAAGAATCTGTAGCAGCAGCAGCTGCTGTCAGGACTTCGGGACCTCGGGATTTCTCTAGCAGCTACAGGATTTCTGAACAATTTTTTTCTACCGGGGGAGTTTGGGCAAGAGCACTTTTTGTAATTAGTACGAAGGCAATGTTATGAATTGTGCTTCAACTTAAGCTCGAGTGCCTTCGTCTTCTTCTTCTTCTTCTCTTCCACGGGGGCCTCAGTCGTTCAACCCCCTGTTGCCCGAAAAAGGGTAGCTGTAGCTACATTCATTCACTCATTTTTGGAAAGGGTTAACACGCGAGGCCTGCATTGTGCGGTTTTTGGACAATAAATCAAAGCAAATCAATGCAACAACAAATGGAGTTAAGGGGGGTTAAGGTGGCACACGCCGTAACTCCTTTGAAGCCTGGTATTCTGAACTTTCTAGTTAGCTGCGAGAGTCGAAGGACTCTTGAAAAGAGGCCCTCCCTTAACCCATGACTGCCACTTAAACGCCTACATGACATGACAGCCTGTCATGGGTAAGAAGCTATGCCCCCAATCCCCATTTTAAAACAGAGAAAAAAAATAAAGAAGATGACGACGAACCCAAAGCGTTTTTCACAATTACACACACATTAAACAGCACAAGCCAAAGATAAAGCCCTGGAAAAAGTAGAAGATGTCTAGAAGGGGTTAAATATATATATACATGTGCCTGTGTAATGAGAGCGAAAAATTATTGTAGCCTGACATTAGGCGCAGACAAAGAGGGAGGGGGTTAAAAAAAAGTGGAAATGGAGGTTAAGCCTACGCTTTGACAGCCACAAATGCTGATATAAGGATATATATCTTTATAAATGGTATATATACATCAGAGGAAAAATAGAGCACACATATGATAAGATATAATAGGATTATGCGGAAAGAATATGGATTGAATAAACTAGGAAACTAAAATAAAATAGAAAAAATATATCTCAAGTTTAAATTCTTTTATATACCAACACAAAATAATACCCCCTTCCAAACCCCCTTAATAATCCTTTGCCATAGCTTATTTAAGCAGCTCAACTGCTATCCATTAATTGCTCGGTCTGCTTTTCGACTAAATACTCCAGGAACTTCAACTCAAAATCCCCCACTTTTCGTTTAACCCCCCCTACCCAAAGAATATTCTTCAGATTCGAGGCATGCCTTTGCATTTGCTTTACAATTTCAAACATCATTAGCAACGCACACAGAGGCGGTGGGTTTTTTTTGTTGGGGGGGGGTTTGTGAAATACACACACGCACACATGTGCATATCCCTTTTTGCTAATTATTTATTTAAATATTAAACAAAAAATACCCAAAAACACACACAGAGAGAAGGAACGAGTTCAAACCCCACCCCAAAAAGAAAATAAATAAAACTGCAACAAAAAACCAAAAAAAAAAAAAAAGTGAAAAGAGTGGCATAAAATCAACACACACACACATATACACCGAAATAACCACTCACACACACTCATGCAGAGCAAGAGAAAAGACGAAAATGATGTATTGATGCTGAAAGAGAGGGGACGATGATATGGGGATCCTGTCTGCACACAAATAAAAAACACACACACACAGAAGACAAGGAGGAGTAGAAGAAAAAGAAAGGCGAGAAAGAGAGGCAGATAGACATGCCTGTGTGTGTGTGCAAATACATAACTGTACATTCGTCGAGATACCGTTAGAGATTTGAGCTCTCTTCTTTTTTGGCTAACTAATATTTTCTAATTTAAAATTCTGTTTCTTTTTTATTGCCTCACACACACACACACAG